CACCTCTTAAAAAACAAACGCCACCTAAGTAAATAATAGCATTAAATTTTATCGACAAGCACTTACTGAGCAAGTGTTTGGTAAACGGCCCCTTAGTCTTATAATTACCAGTGACAAGAACTAAAACCGTTATTTGGAGATTCCATGTATTTTCTCACTTTTTTTAATATAAAACAACAATTTCATGAATGATTTAATTCGGTACTATTGAAAATTTTAGGCCAAGGATTTATTCCTCTTCTAAGTTTGTCAAAAAATTGAGGCAGGTATTCAAGAATGGTCACGAAAACAAGTCCATAGTCACAACTATCGTGTTCCCGAACCATATCGAGATCAGGTTTTTATACGCAATTTTAAGTTTCTCGTGTTTTTTCGCAGAAAAAAATACATGCACCAAGATTTTTGACATAATGACAGGTTGTGGTAGTGATCGGAAACGGGCCTAGCGCATTTGATATATCTCGAGAAATCGCAACCGTTGCCAAAGAGGTTCATCTATCTTCGAGATCTTCGAACGTCAAGGCCTCGAGCTTGGATGGATATGAAAATATGTGGCAACATTTAAAGGTATACGTATTTGAGTCGATTCTTAACATAAATGGATACGAATCTATTTGAAATGTAATCATTTTCAAATACACGACATTGTTAACAGATCAATCGTGTTTTTGGTGACGGACGAGTCATGTTCCAAGAGGGACAGTCTATAGAAGCAGATATTATCTTACATTGCACCGGGTATGAATTTCCGACACTCTATTCCTGCGAAACTGTTATTTTATTATTTAAAATTTCTAGGAAAATCTGTTAATTATCACCAGGGTTGGACTGGTATCTGCTGGTCATGCTTAAAGCATATGAGACATAAGGTCGAATACATATCATGGCATACATGATACATCCAATTTCAGAAGCCTAGGTGTAATACCCCCAAACACCACATTTGCATAGAACACATATTTCATTACATAGAAACATGGATTACATCAAAACGTCTCACTAGTACAAGGATTACTATATGTACAAAATTTACATATAAAATTTCCAAAACAAATCCTGTACTACTACATGTAATATAACATATATCTTCAAAATCAGGAAACAGATTAGGAAAATAATCACATTTTCCCTTTCCCTTTATTATCCCCGGACCCCGCTATTCTTGCATTGCAATATTTTAAAACAGAAAATGAGGGTTAGACCGGACGGTCTAGTGAGTAAATCCCTTCTTTGCAAATGCAGGGTGATGAACACCAAAATATGATAATGTAATTTTGCTTAGAAATATACTGCAATACAGTTAAATGATGCAGTTCACAACATCATGCGAAAAGAAGTATATCCAATAACCTCACTTCTAAATAGTATCTCTGATTTGACATTCAACCCTTCCAATATGAAACAAATATTGTAACCAAAACTTCTTAAATCAATAAACCAATTCTTTGACAAATATAAACAGAAAAGATTTAAGGCAATACTTGCCTGATATGATAAATCATTTTCCCCTTCTCAATAACATCTAGATTATTACTTCTAAATAGGAATAATATCTTTAATTCATCAGGTCACAAAGAAATGATGATTCAAAGTTATTAAATCCAATTTAGTAATAATAATAAGAGTTATAATAATATTCACATATGATAATGCCACCATTATTCCAAGTACACCTCTCCTTGATATGTCACCCTTATTTCTCCATTAAAACATGGTTACTTATCAGAACAGACATAAGTCACCACGTCTGAAAGTACCAATTCCTAGTTCCAAGCCAGAACAGACAAAAGTTACCACGTCTGGGGGAACTACTATTTAAAACAGTGTTTCATACCAAAACAGACTTACGTCACCACGCTTGGTAGAAACAATTTACAAAATCCACTTCCATACCAAAACAGACTTACATCACCACGCTTGGTAGGAAGGTTTCCCAAAATATAGTTTCATACCAAAACAGACTTACGTCACCATGCTTGGTAGAAACATATCTTTTTTTTTAAAAGACATAAAATAACCATTTTATGATCCATAACTAAATAAACATTAAAATTATATAAATAAATAAATAAAACTTATAAAATTTTCAAACATGAAATTATCCGGACAAGTTATCCGGATATAAAGTCCGGACAACTTATCCCTCTTTGTCCGATTTATACTTAAAATAAACTCTAACATATTTGTCCGGATAACAAATCCGGTCAATACCCTGCATAAAGCTTGAACGATTAAATACTTATAAATAAAATCATCTTTGTCCGGATAACAAGTCCGGACAACACTTCGTCCACCCTTTGTCCGATTTAAAACAATCCGGACAACACGTTATTCACCCTTTGTCCGACTTAACACTAATCCGGTCACTCTTGTCCGATTTAACACTAATCCGGTCACTCTTGTCCGGTTTAACACTAATCCGGTCACTCTTTGTCCGGATAAAACTTTAAACACAATATATGGTTTTTGATTCAAATAATAAATAACATTCAACTAAAAACCATTATAAATTTTTATGCCAAAAAGATTTAGAAACCACTCACCTTAACAAGCCGTTTGAAATCAAACACTTGAAATCAACCCTTTTGAAATCTGATCAACTCTTCCTCTTAAAACACACAACTTTCTTTCTCAAAAAAAAAAAAAAATAACCAGAAGAAAGAAGTGGGAGAGGGAGGGGCTTCACCCCCTTTATATACTCTCCAAAATTATGCATCCTACACATTCTCATGCACACATACACATCCACCTCATGCATCCTACACATCCACCTCATGCATCCTACACATCCACCTCATGCACATATACATACTTCATGCACATATGATTATATAAATATATACATACCCATATCAAGCACATATATAATGTATACACACACCACACACACACACACACACATATATATATATATATATATTAAACACACACACACACATATATATATATATTTACATTATGCATATATCCCTATGCATAAAAATACACATACTCACATCTTAAATTTACGTAAACACGTATCCACATAAACAATTAATTCACATAATGAATACTTTGGTTGATAACCTGGACTCAGTTATCACACTAGGGAATTGTACTCTTTCATTCTCAATCGTCAAATGTTATTTTAATTTGTTTCGGCATGTGGTAGGTACAAGTACCATTTCCCGTTTCTAAGAAAAACCGGTGTCGTACATGTGGACGACAATCGCGTTGGACCGCTTTACAAGCACGTGTTCCCTCCACAACTCGCACCTAGACTCGCTTTCGTTGGATTAGCCTACAGTATGTCGTTCATTAGATCGTTAATTTGTTCATTATTTCATTTTACGAATCTAGGATATATATATATATATATATATATCTTATGTTATTTGTCGTTCTTACTATCATTATGCAGGTCAAGGCGTCTTGTTTCGAATGTTTGAGTTGCAAGCGAAGTGGATAGCGCTTGCATTATCCGGCAAGATATTGTTGCCGTCAAAAGACGAGATGTTGATCGATGTTCACAAACATTATCAAGAAATGGAGGAAAACGGGATCCCAAAGCACTACACTCATTCGCTAAATTTTCAGGTTTTCGTATAAATCCTTACTGTTATTGCATGATTTCTAGAGATGCACAAGGCCCAAGTCTTTTAAAAAAGTTGGGCTTTTTCGATCCCTTTTGGGCTGGACCGAGCTTTGACCAGGCCTTAGGAAAAAAAAATACTTGGCCTTAGTGAGGGCCAAAAACCGGTCCCGGGCCAGGCTCAACTGGTCCCAAGTTTTTTCATAACTGGTTCCGTCGAAAATGGTAAAATTGGTCAAGGTTCTTCACAACCGGTCCTTGCCTGCCGGTCCAGGTTCCAATGGGTCCTGCCCATTAAAAAAGATATTTTATTTAATTTTTTTTAATGATATATATTTTTAATACATTATAAAATTTGTAATTAGGTCACTCAAATACACTTTAAAAATACGTTTTATTGTAATTAAAATTACATTGTCTTTCAAAAATTTATTATAAATACATTTATTATACATACATTTCGGGCCGGGCCGGGCCGGTCCATAACCGGTCCCACAAAAAATCCGACAAAATCCATAACCGGCGTTCCCATAACCGGTCCTCCATCGGTCCCGGGCCGGGCCGGTTTGGCAATCACTAGCCTACTTGGGTTTTTTTGGTCTAGCATGGGCTCGGGCTTATTAGGACTGGACTTTTTGGGACATGGTTCTTATGCATGAAACAAACTACGTTTTTCTAACTTCAAAATCGATTGTTTTGATGACAGTTTGAATACGTCGAATGGTTAGCTGCTCAGGTAGGATGTGAAGTTGATGATCGGCTTAAACAGATCAGCAAGAACGTTCGTGAACACTTTATTTCTCGTCTTAATGGCTCCCGTGATACGTTTGTTTTATAATCTTCATAATTTTGGTTTATAGCGTGATTAGTGATAGATAATCTGAGGTATATCGAAGGCAAAATAAGAACACAAATCATTGTATCAGTAGTATATGTATGCATCGAATCATATAATTTGAATGGCTACTCGCAATAATAAAGTCGGATTTTTGGACGGTGATGAATCCAAGAAGTCAGAGGTAGAGCTAGGGACTAGGGGTGTTAAAAAAACCAAAGTCGAATAACCATCTGAATCGAATGAGGTTCAAGTTAAACAGATTCGTGTTATTTGTGAATCCTATCAAAAACGCCTTTAACGGCAACAAAGAACACATAATCGGTCAAAAATAACAAGCATTGCAAAAGGAAAATTGTCATCGAAAATTCGAAATCATCGGTATGTTTTTACTTGTGCTGTTTTTGGACCTCTCAACTTGGCAATGGTACAAACCTTAAACATAATCTACTACTTTTTTAGCTTATGTTACAATACCCATTTCCAGCAACTTACCATCTTTTTCTTAAACCTTCACCATCTTTATTTCTTCATGAAATTTGATAGAATTGGAATTCATCGAATGAATTGGAATGGAATTTAAAGGAATTGGGTGGAGGATGGGGGCGACGACAATAGTGGTGTGGGGTTAGGGGTGGGACATGATGAACAATAGTAGCATGGTCGTGGTGGGTGGTGATGGAATTTAGTTCCTTCCATTATGCCAAGCAATGATAAATTCACTAATTTGTAGAATTCAATAAAATTTGAAAGATTTCATCCATTTCAAGAAATGAACCAAACAAAGGAATTAGAATTTGGTCAAAGAAATTTGTTATTTCAATTCCATCAAATTCTTTTGAATTCCATGAACCAAATGACACTCTCATCCCCCAAGAGTCATCGAGGAGAAAAGGGGTCAACATACATATCGAGTATAAATGGTCTCGGCTTTTAGTGACGACCGTAGCTGTCGGGATCTCAAGAACCGCCTTTATCATGGTTGTGATTTTAGTCATCGATAAAGTCGGGCAAAAGCCATTATTATACGTGAGCACCATCGGAATGACATTTTGTTTGTTCGGTTTGGGCAATCGTTTTATCGTTGTTTAACAAAGAGTTCATCGGGGTGGCGTTGGTGATTCTGTTGGTTTGTGCAAATGTGGCTTTTTTTTTGGTTGGCAACGGACTGATCTGTGTGGTTTTGACATCAGTGAGGCTACGAGCACAAGGGTTCGCATTAGGAGCGGTCGGGAATCGGGTGTGTAGCGGAATCGTTGCAATGTCGTTTCTTTCCATTTCTCGTGCCATTTCGATGGCCGGAACATTCTTCATTATTCATTAGACCCAAGTATGTCACACAAAATCGAAACAGAATACATTGTTTTTCAGATGTAAACCAGATACTTTGAGATGCACATCTAAGGTACCAAAAGGAAGGTTTTGGAAGTATGTTAGACAAAATAGGAATCAAATCAAAATGCATCATATTTCAAATGTAAGCCGAAGTACCTAAATGTTTGAGATATCACATCTAAGGTACCAAAACGAAGCTTTTAAAAATACGTTTCCGTAAAATAGGAATCAGACCAAAGTACGTTGCATTTTTAGATGTAAACTAGGTACCTAAATGTTTGAGATGTCAAATCGAGGTACCAAAACTAATGTTTTGGAAGTACGTATACAAAATAAAAATCAGAACAAAGTACATTGCATCTATACTAGGTACCTAAATGTCAAAGATGTCAATTCAAAAGTACCAAAATGAAGCTTTTAAAATTACGTTATACAAAATAGGAATAAGACTAAAGTACGTTGTATTTTTCATGCAATTTTCCATTATATGGACACCAAATAAAAGCAATGAACTCATTATTATCGTTAGACACAAGTTTACAACAGAAGCTCGTAAAAGTTTTACCATTCCGTCCTCACGGATAGATAGAAACATTTTCAAAGTTCATGAGCAGGGAATCTAGCATTAGCAGGATCCGTCATATCGAAAAAGAGATGCACCATACCTCCAATTCCTTCAAACAAAGAGTAGGGAGTGTCACCTCCATGCATCTGGCCTTCGGATATGAGCTTGTGGCCCCGATCAAGTAAAAAACAAGCAAACGCCTTGGCCTTGTGTAAGAACTCAACGTTACCCGTCATTCGATAAAGTGAGAGGAAGACGTACGCATTCCCGCTGATACCATGACAGATACCAACCTTCTTCARTAAGCCACGCTTCCACACAACTTCAGCTGCATCCTCTKCYGCTTCTAGAAATTCTTTATCCTCAAACACSTGATCATCACAAAAGTGTCATTGGCCCACYGGCCATGGGTACCCAAGTTACTGGCAGAGCTCAGCCTCACCAAATGTGATGAGTGTGCGTAAGTATTTGTCTTATATAAATATTATATACTTAAAAAAACAAAAACCCGATCATCCATTACATTTCAGGTTGCAAGATTACCCAACAGGACAACTAGCAAATTAAAGCTAGGTTATCGGGCTCCTCCTCATAAGTCGTAGGTTTGAGTCTTCTCAGGACTACTGAGGATTTCCCGGACTGTTATCTTCAGGGCCCAATGGGGATTAGTTGAGATGCGTGTAAGCTAGCCTAGATACCAACGGTTACTCAAAAAAAGGAGAACTTTCTTTGCATCTTAAAAACAGGTTGTTTCCATGACTCAAACTTGTGACCTTTTGTCGCACATGCCCACCTCACTTTTTGTAAAATACCAAACCGAATAAACCTAGTATATCCCACTTGAAAGTAGGGTCTGGTCCATCCACCCCCCCCCCCCCCCAACAAAAAAAAAAGAAGGTAAAGCGACTGTTTCCGGTAAAACCCCCGGCTATTTGCATATGAACTCTTTTACTGAGACACGAGTTGCAGAAAAATAGAGTTAGGAGGAAAGGACTTTTTACCTCAGCTGCTTTGACTAGTGTGAGGGCCACTCCAGGTGCACCGTGACACCAATACACAAGATCATCGTTTCTCTTATCTTCTTCCCGTGGGTAGTTTCCACTAGGAAAACGATTGTTGATCATGTACTTGAGTGTTTCCTTCACATCCGCAAGCACATCAGGCGCAAGTTCAAAATTCATGAGGACATACAAAATCCCAGCTAACCCATGGGCAGCACCCCAATACCTCTCACCATTATACTCAAACATCAAAGGGCATCTTGCAGTGGCACCCAATTTTCTCCCATTTTCGACGATCTTATCCACAACTGCACTCTGTTCCATTTTGTCATTCTTTATCCACTTCTAAGAGCATCCACAATGGAGCTTTTTGGAGAGCTTTTTGAGCACCTAAGCTTATGGAAAAGTCCCTTGGCAAACGCCCTGACAAGCTCTCAAAAAGTTTGCTTCTCGCTTGTGGGTGGACCTTTTTCTGGTAACAGCTCCAATGAAAAAGTTCACCATTGTGGATGCTCTAAGTACTCGAGATACATAAATAAAAATAAAGTCATGTGAGAACCCTTACGGAATGGGTAGACGGAATTATTCCATCGCCTAAATTCTTGTTAAGAAAGAGACATGCCCATAAGTATCCAGCTCTCCCACGAATAATTTCATCTGGACAATCTTCACTTACCTCGATCTGTTACCAAACCCAAACAAACCCCACAAACATTGAAGTTACATATATGATTACCATTTGGAAATTTGAATTAGATGTATCAAATCAAATCAAATCAAACCAAACCAAACCAAACCAAACCAGCACAGTACATCCCACCCGAAGGTGGGTTCTGGGAAAATAAGGAAAAAGGTAACCATCGTAAGGAAAAACTGAAACTGAAATTATATATCACCTCTTTAAATTGGGTCAAATAGTAATCAACCATCTGCTTATTGCCTTGGCGCTTTGCCACAACAGCACCAAGAGCGCAAACTCCGGCACGCCCCACTAAAAAAGTCACAACCCTACAAAGTATCTCCGTGAACATCACATAACCAATTCAGCTTCTACTCCTTTAATACTTTCTTGATTCCAAAAAAGTGTGGTACATATTGCAACAAGATCAGCTTAATAGAACGTCAAATATGCCTTAAATGTCCTGGACTTAAGTTGATAGGACCAAACAATTATACATCGTATATAAAATTATGAAAATAAGTGTGCAAGACGCTTACGATTTTAGGACTTTAAATTAAGTGTTCTATACATGACACTTTTGTGCAGTGTCGTATGAACACTTTTTTGCAAGACATTTGTTTTTTATTTTAAAATATCCTTAAAAATTTGTAGCATATATTAGGTCCTATAGTTGATGTTACTTGGATATTCAGACATATAAAGCCGATTTTGTGGCATTTTTAATCCTAGACTACTAACTGTCATGGTTTCCTAATAGACCTATTAATAACATTAATGGATCATAATCAGGGTAAAATGGGGAGAAAAACATCCACCCATTCAAGTAGAAAGAAAACCTGGAACTGGAAGAAGCAGAGTCACAAGCTTTTATGATTTCAGAACAGAGATCAAGATCGTTTTTGTTGCCAGTAATTTGATAGGATTTCAACAGCAAGAAAGCAGTTCCAAGAGTGCCTCGATATAGGGAAAAGTCTTGAACTTTTTGCCCTGTAATTCCCCATGTCTCCACCACTATCTGTGAGACATTTTCACAAACACCTCATCAGCATACCAGTTGCACACATCGTTCATCAATAATTTAGAATGCCAATTACACCCAACATAATAGTAATCAAACACCCAACGAATTCAACCAAAGAAGTTCCAAATTACTCCTAAAATTATAAACTGGAACGCACAGTTACACATAACATAACGAGAGATGGAGAGAAGGGTAATACAGTTTCTTTGAGATCCAAGGCAGCTCGTTTGAGTTTCTCGGAGAGAGTGGGGTATGGCGTAGAAAGAAGCTTCAACAAAGAATCTTCTTCCTTTTCTTCTTGTGCTTCAATTCCTGTTACCGTTGCCTTCTCCTCTACAAAATCTGACATGAAATTCTCAAAGTATCGATCTGTCATTTTCCGGCGATGATGGTTTAAAAAGTCAGACGGGGAGTGTTATGAAGGAGAAAAGATAGCAGCCACCGATTGACCTTGTCTCTCAAATCGTCAACGATGAGACACGCGTCCGCCATTGAAGCTGCGTTGCAGTAAACGTGGCAAGCTTCTTTGTCAAAGATACTGTCCAATTCAAACAATTTTGGTTTGATTTATTTTCGGATAATCCGATTCAGCCAAACCCGGCCCAATTAACCCTAAATTTTATCCGGTTCCAAGATTTTTCAAAACTAACAACCCGATAATCGCCCCATTCCCGGTTTCTATATTCAGGGATACCCCATCCCGGTAAGTACGGTGATTCCTCGATCAAATCAGGTTTAGATACCAATTCTACTGTCGAGTACGGATTCTTTTAACCAATTGTAGTTTCAATCCATGTAACAAATTCAAGTAATGATCCATTAAGTGCCGTTTTTTAGCGGATTGGTCATAACTTTTCCATAACATGTTGGGCCTGGTCCTATAATAGTACTCTAGTACGTATATTGATGCTGAGGCCTAACCTATCCTTGTTCAGAACGGTCACTCGTAACCGATTAAGGGTGGCCATCTTTTTTTACATGTAATTGGAGTTTACCTTGGCTAAGTACAAGAAGACAAAAAGGGAAATCGCCACCCATGAACCAAAGGCAGTGTAGAGTCAGGGACGAACCTATAAATTTTTTCAAACGGTGGCACCATTTGACCATAAGAAAAAATATATAGGGAAATTTTTTCAAACGGTGACACCATTTGACTAAGAAAATGATACTAATAGGATTCGAACTTAGGTCTGGGATGGAATAAAAGCCTTGCAAACCAACTCTTATCAAATAAAACTTGTTCTCATTGTAGTTTCAAAATACATATGGTGACACACAACAAATTAATACAGTTGCATCGTTCACGAACCTAAATTTTTTACTCTTCGGCGGAGAAATAATACGGTGGCACGTACCACCTATACCATATAGCTGGGTCTGTCCCTATGTAAGGTAGAGACTAAATTTTAGATTGAAAATTAATTAAAATAGCTATTTTCAAACTTTGAATTCATCTTTTAGCCATTTCCCTCCCAATATGACAAAAATGTCACTACCTCTGCAATAGCAACTCTTCAACTTAGGTAGGGGCTTGAACTCAGTACTTAAACAAGCACCCAACTTGAACTCAGTACTTCCAAAAATTTTGAGCTCGAGTCAAGCTCTAGCCTGGTATTTTTTTCGAGCCGTAACACCCGAATTTCAACCCTACTTTGAGCGATTGATAATACTTTTTAAAGGGACACTTGCCTAAACGAGCTTCTGTCTCCGTATATTGATTAATTTCTTTCATGCCATTTTTTATATTATCTGAGCACTGAATTTTGAAGCAACTTATAATCCTAATTCTTCTGAAGATGCTTATTGATCACATCTATGCTAATTGGTTGTGACGGTTTTTTACTTAATTATGTCATCCAAGCAAACATAGATTGCTTTCTAGTAGTTGAATCGAATCTTATAGCCTCTTTAGATTATGAGATTTCTATATTCTTTTGTGTTAGGATGAGTGTTTGGAATGTCATCAGACTTTTACCGGTGGCTTATGTTGTGGATATTTGGATTAAGGTGTAATTTCTTAGTAAAGTTGTAGCATCAGTTATTATGCATCTTGCATTACAGTGTTTTGTAATCTTTACGAACATATTTGAATGCTTGTAATCCTTTGGTAGTTTCTTCTTCATTACTTTTCTTATGTTGGTGTAGTTACATAATTATAAGCATACAACTTTGGGTCTAATCTTATTCATGTTCAAATTCAATGCATTGTAGAGAGACGACCACCCTATTCGAAAATTCTGGTTCTTCCCCTGCATAAGAGTAATTTATATGGATTAAGTTGTCTGTATTGATAAAGTTAACACTGATAACAGATAAATTATTTTTCAATTATTATATTAAATAAATAGTCTGAATAACAAAAATGACTATATTACCCATTATCATTTTTTTGTGTTTTTGCCCCTAAATCTTGGTGATCAAATTGATAAAAAAAACAATGAATATTTAAAATTGATCAACCAACAATTACAGTAAATCCTTAAATTACTACTAAATTATCATGAAATGTTTAATTATACGATCAAAAACATGTTTCCTGCCTCTTATATATTATTTTGATGATCAAAATTTTCAGAAAAAAAAAATACTACAAATTAAAAATGGTTCATCAAATTTTCAATATTATTAAATCTCTCTAGAAAATCGAGATTTAGGATTAAAAATTTATGATGCATTTAGTAATCGAGATTTAAGATTTATACATCATAATGACTTTTTAACTAAAAACGATCAGATTTCAAAATTCATAGTAGTGGATTCAAGAAAAATTTCATAAATTATGAGCAACTAGGGAGCTTGTAATAGATAATTTGGAGCTTCATATCTTGAAAAAATCGATGGTGAAAAAGGCAGATTTCATCGAGATTTACCCATTGCTTTCTTCCTTTTTAACTCAAGGGGGGGGGGGGGGGGTCCCATTTTAATGGATAACGGAAAAAGTGGAGGAATCAGGGAACATATTGATGAAGCAGGGGAGTAGATACAGAAGCAGAGGTATGAAGAAGATGAATCGCTGAAAGAGTATCTTCAGAGGATTTTTCCTTGTAGATGTTGTTGTTTAATGTGATAAGGGAAGATGTGGAATAAATATGGCTCAATGCAAATGACACATTTATTTTGGCTAAGTGATTAAGCACTTGGCTGGGTGATTAAGCCACAACCGAACAACCTCTTAGGCTCTTAACCGTTAAAAAACTTGTTGCTCATCAATTATCAACAATGTCTTAGAAAAATGTTGATTTTTTGTTAACCATGAGTGTCGGGACATTTTGCACGCATGATGTGTCTCAACTAATCCCCAAGGTGTCGGAGCACAGTAAGGAAAATCCTCAGTGGCCTTGTTGATCGAGACTTCGAGATACTGTTTGGTGTAAGTGTGCATATCTGAAATTATTTTAAAGAATCATTAAGATGTATTTTTTGGTAAAAGAGAAATTGGAATAGATGTTTTTACAAAATAGCTGAGAGTTCTAAAAAACTGACTTAGGGGACGTTTACTAAACACTTACTTGGTAAGTGCTTACCGGATAAATTTCCTCATCGGATGAACATGAGAAGGGCTAAGAATCTTACAGGGTAAAAGCGATGAGAAGGATGAAGAGTGTTACCCGGTAAGTGAGGATGAAGACTCTTACACAGGTAAGCGCTTACCTAGTAAATTGTTGCATTCGATATGTTTTGATATACTAAAACCTTACGGATCAACATAAATCATAATGTTAACTCCTATCTATAAGTGTTTACCGGGTAAGCAATTGGGTAAACGATTCCTTAGTAAATTTGTGAAATTTACTTTTTTCAGATTGCTCAGTCATTTTTGGTCATATCCTAGACAAACCTCGGCTGAAAAGCAGATATTGCAAAGCTTTGCGAAGCCATTTGCAAAACTACCGACTATTTTATGATATTGTTTTGAGAAACAACTATTTCTATAAATAATTTTTTTTCCCAAAAAACGTTGAGTTTGGTGATTTTCAATACTTTTACCATATTAACATTCCATCCCTTCAAGCTTTGATGATTGACAAAATAGGCTACTAACTACTTCAGTTTTGTGTAAACAATAGTTTTCAATGAATATTATATAATATATTAGGGGTGTTTGCGGTCCGGTTTGGGCGGTTTAACCTCTCAGACCACAAACCAAACCGTAAGAGTGGTTTATAAAATTTTCAAACCGAGCGGTTTGACATCAAGTGCCCAGACCACGAAAATGCGGTCCGGTTTAGGCGGTTTGGGCCTTTAATGGACTTTAAATATTAAATTAAATATCCATTTTAACAAAACAAAATATCCATTTAAATAAATGTAATAATTAAACATTTTTTGAGTCCAAAATCCAAACAATCCAAAGTGTACACAAATAAATATATAATACATAACAAATTAACAAAGTCATAATTTCACTGTGAGTATTGAGTAATAAAATCCACGACTTTACAACCTTCAATTCTTAACTAAACAAAATAGAAGACAAATCTTAGCTGGTTGAATCACTTGGTTCATGCCTTGATGATGTGCGCCGAAATCAAACCATGAATTAGGAAAGATCGATAGATTGGTAGAGTTCTTGAGGGATTTCAAAATTTGGAGACCGTCAATGTCAAATGTGTTGATATGTTTATTGCTTTAGGGGTTTTAGGCGGCGAATCATTTGGATTTGATTATATTAGATGTTAGGTTTTATGTTGGGTTTATGGATATATTTGGATCATAGCCCATGAGTTAAAAAAGTTGAGATTGGTAATACTAAAATAAATAAATAAATAAATAAATATGTATTTGGCGGTCGGTTTGGTCCAAACCGCCTAAAAAAAGTTCCAGACCACAAACCAGACCGGATCGCCCGGTTTTGCTATATTCCAAACCAGACCAAACCACCAGACCGCTAAAACTGCCAAAAACGGTCTGGTTTGACTTGGTTCGGCCAGTTTGGACGGTCCAACGGTTTTTTTGAACACCCCTATAACATATATCAAAAGTTTTGCAAGTAAATACAGGGAATCAAAATATGTCTGGTAAAAAAATGCTTACATCAAATTAGTCTGTAAAGCATGCTACAACTAAACATGAAGATCAGGTATCAGGCAAGAATATTTACGAAAATAAAATCGTTGGAAATTTCTAAATGATAAGCACAAGTGATCAGAATTATTCATTTTAGTATTTTAATTAGATACAATCTTCATGAAACTGATATTTCATCGGAAAGCAAAGTCTACGTTAACTATGCTTGTACAATAGAAGGAAAAAAATTAAGTTGATATGATTTTCAAAAATGAACGTTGCATTTATGGATTCAACAAGTTAGAGAAGTTGTTTACCATTCTGGTGAAAGCTACAACAAAATCTATAGAAGGCTATTTTTGTACGATTTCATGTGGATTTCCGCATTGACCTTTTCTATTAACTATGCAGT